AGAGAGAGAGAGAGAGAGAGAGAGAGAGAGAGAGAGAGAGAGAGAGAGAGAACGGATCCCCTTAACACGGCTCAGACGGCCCATGCAGGCTATCTGAAGGGTCCTTGCAGACATGTGGCGCAGACCCCCCCCCACCAAAATCAAGGCAGGCAGTGAATATGAAACAGAGCACGAGCTGGCCGAATATATACTCCAAATTCGAATTCAGGTCTGTGTTTCAGCAGTTATGGGTTGCTCACGTAGCTAGGGCCTGTTGGTCTCTGCACGTGACTCTTAGGGCTTGGCTGCACTACTCACGAGATGTGCAAAATTAGAATGAATCTTCTGCAGAACGTGGAATAATATGCCACCATATGTTTTGTCTTTTGTGCATTTAGTGAGTAAAGGCCCTTAGGGCCACTGCACGTATTCCTAAGAAAAGGAAGACGAGAAAAGAAAAGAAAAGCGAGAAAACAGAGAGATGGTAACCCATAACAGACATGCACAGACCTGAATTCGAATCCAGACTATATATTCTCTGCCCACCCTCAGGGAGTACAAGTTAGAAGTGTATCCTTCCGAAAAGAGGCTGGACACAACGAGGACATTTTTGTTTTTCTACTTTTTTAATGCGCCGCATCACTTGTTTGTGCATGCATGTGCGTGCGACACCCCGCACATGAGATGCACTGCAAGTATGATTCGAACACATCTCTCTCTCTCTCTCTCTCTCTCTCTCTCTCTCTCTCTCTCTCTCTCACACACACACACACACACACACACACACACACACACACACTGGGGGGGCCCGGCCCCCAACCGGGTGCCCTGCCCGGCCAGGCCACCCGGGACCTCCCCCGGGCCCTGCCGGTCACCCGGGCGGTCCGGATCCCCACTCAGCAAAAAAAGTCAAATCACATGGAAATACGTAAAGCACCCACCCTCCTCGGAGTCTCCTGTGGTGGTCTGTACGGTTCGTAGAATGGTGCTTCCGTCAGAAACGGATGGTTCACAGCCTGCACGCAGAGAAAACCAACTTTTGTGTTATAGCAAGCCCAAGACACTGAATGGTACACAGATATGACTGTTAATAAACAAAACAGATAGCCGTCAAAACTTGAAAAAAAAGAAGAAAAGAAAAGGAAGAATGCAGCACCAAGGCAAATTTGCTTTAACGTAACCAAGCAACTACTGCAAGGAAAATGAGCAATTGCGAGATGACAATGTCCAGCAAGCACAATCACATTGAAGGCCAGATAGTAACACAGTGTCCAGAAAGCAGAAATGCACCAATATAACACCAATGAAGACTCGTAACACTGAAAACCAATGTCAATGAGAGCTTGCTCTCACCACCACCAACATGAGTGTCCAGGCCCTATCTCCCTACTTGGCGCTCGGCGCCCAGCCTACTTCCTACACAGCTACAGTCTGCCTACTAATTGACAATGCAACTGTTGACGTCAGCAGCCCACGAAGTACTTGAAGATGTCACCCATAGCAGACCATCGCCAATACCAGGTATGTGCCCTCGCATCATCATCATCATCATCCTTCTCTCTCTCCCTCTTCTTCACCCACCTCTTCCCTCTGTACACCCGAAGACCACCCCTGCACCTCACTGTAGTCCAAGCCCAACCAGCTATGGAGGCTGGGCTATGGTGCTGCCCTCGGTTGCGCCCTGCTCCCTGCACAACCGCACGTGTTAGTACCTTGCCTCTCAGTGCCAGCAGCAGCCCACGAGCGTCCGCTCCAGCAGCGCTGCCGCCAGCATGCAAGTGCTGAATGAAAGGCCAGGCAGAGAGCTCTTCCCTATATGGAATGAGCCGGCCTGCCTTCGCAGCCTGGCTGGCCTGGGCCTCGGCCCAGAAGCTTCCGGTAGGACCCAGGATGCTGCGCCTCTGTTGCAGCTACTGGGCCTCAGGAGGTCTGTCTGTGCCTTTTTGAGCGCGCATTATTCTGTGAGCTCCTCCGCAGGAGACATCCTATAGATTCGTCCTCTAGGCACCTTACTACCTGGGACAACCTCTATCGAATGGAATACCTCCCTTACCACCACGCTTGTGGGCTCCTCAAAAAGGTCCTCTATTGAATGGAATACCTCCCTTACCACCACGCTTGTGGGTTCCTAAAAAACGTCGGAATATTGTGCGACGACTGATTCTATCTATGGGGATATTTTTACGGCCTACCCTTTCTCAGAGACAAAGACTAGATACATGCGATTATGCTTATAGTAGTTATGGAAAGAGGAGGCACACATGCAGCCATAGTTTTCCACTAGACTGCTAGCTTTAAACTTTTGCAATTTAACGGTCCTACCATTGGGCAGCTCGTGTATCAACACCTTTCTATCCCAATCAAACTGAGGCTGAGCGACCTCGAGGTAGTACATGACTAGTAATATGTCGAGGGGCAGTTCATCTAAGGAGGAATGAGATTTTGTGTCTCACTTCCCCTCCTCCATAAGAGAAGGAATAGACTATGTCCTTGACATAGTTTTTTACTACCATTTGGTGCTTGTTGGCTAGCGTAGAAGCTACAGTTCTGCTAAGCCGCTGCACTTGGTCCCCTAAACTGAGGCTGAGCGACCTCGAGGTAGTACATGACTAGTAACATGTCGAAGGGCAGTTCATCGCTAAAGAGGAATGAGATTTTGTGACTCACTTCCCCTCCTCCATAAGAGGAGGAATAGACTATGTCCTTGACATAGTTTTTTACTACCATTTGGTGCTTGTTGGCTAGCGTAGAAGCTACAGTTCTGCTAAGCCGCTGCACTTGGTCCCCTAAGCGCAGTCGATCCACGCAAGCACGACTAATGAAAATTCGTGTAGAGCCTATGTCTGCGAAGGCACTTACTTTGCAGCCACCTACATTGACCTCTACCACGAAATGTTCCCCCTTAGGATCTCTACTTATCATCGCCCAAGAGTCTCTGGGGTCCTTCCCTGACCACTCAGACTATAACTCTTCCGAGGACTCAAACACATCTCTCGAACAAAGCGTCGGTGAGTATGAATGTGTCTGCGTGGCGATGTTCGGGTCACTAGCCTTGGCCAACGCCTGAAGTGGGGAAGGCAACGCTACCACTTCGGCACGAGTAAGAGCAGCTAACACTCCTACTGGCCCGAGGTGTTTCCCTGCGAAGTGCTCGCAGATGCACTGCCAGGGTTCGAGGATAAGCCCACTACCGTTGGAGCGGCTACCCTTGTGGTGACCTTCTTGCCTCGGCAAGTTCTTGACGTGTGGCCATAGTTGCCACAGTTCATGCATGTGCCCCTGGCAACCCGGTCCCTCCATACCTCGTAATCTAAACCAAGTTTTACCCATGCGGGTGTTCCTTGGTCTCCCTGACCCGTAGACCGGCCTACCTTCTTCTTCCCGATCCCTCTAGCCTTCTCTTTGATAGGCGCCACGACTCCCCCATCCGAAGTCTCGCTGACCCCATCATGCTCTGTCTCGTCCCCATAGTCTGGGAAGTCGTCAATTTTTGCCGCCTGACCATCATGGTCGACGAACATTATTTGTCCTTTCTTCTTCCAGTACTGGGGAAGTCTCTTATTCCTACCATTTGTTGGACCCTGATGCGCGGACCCAAGCTTTGCCTGTATATCTAAGGCTTTCTTGTTGAAAGTAGCGAAGCTATGTTGGTCTTATGTACGCCTCATCCACCAGATTAGTTCTAACTCTGAGGGTAGACATCTCAAGTAGTCTGTGAGTACTTGTGGGTCAAAACGCACACCAGGTACTACGATCAGACGTTCTACGGTGTTCGTGACTTCGCGTACTCTTGTACCTTTTGGCACAAGGGTTGTTAATCGCGTCGGTGGCCTTCTGAGCCCCTTGGGGATCATGCCACCTGTTGTACACACTCCGCACAAACTCTTCCAATGTCTGGGCATGAGCGCAAGTGTCGAAGTTCTGATCATAACCCTGATGCTGCACTACCCTGTTTAACCAACGTGATGTCGATCCTTCTGAAAAAGGAGGTAGCAACTATAACCTCCTTCTCTGGTCTTGTGAGCTTGTGCCTCACATAAGTAGGCACAGTCCTCACCCAGGTATCCAAGTCCTCGTCCTTCTTCCTGTCGCCAAAGAAGGGCTTAGGACTCAGCAAGGGTATCTTGGGCATATCCACTGCATGGGCTGAATTGGCCCAGGAGATTGCTGCAGTTGTTGCACACGCACTGAAACAAGTTGCTGCACACTAACCTGGGCTTGCCCTGACAATGGGACTCTAGTTACCACTGTCGTGGATGGTACGGTTGAAGCTCTAAGGACCGGACCACTAGTGGCCACAAAACCACTTGGAGGGGGCATGCCAAACATAGGAGAGAAATAGGGCCCTGTCGAAAATGGCATCGCCGAGGGACCCACAACTGAAGGGGGAGCTATGAGGCTGCCTCATCGATGGACGAGGAGCCTGTAGTGCAGCCAGAATTCGTTTCTGGCCTGTCACTACTTCAGCCAGCACCTCCTGTTGAACAACCTGCGTTTCAGCCACACACATGAGCGAATTCCGCAGTGCTTGCAAAGCGGGATGAAGTGTTGACTCATCTAGTGCCTCTAGTTTGCCTAGTTCCTGAAATCTGCGGCCTCATCCAACTGCCGCTGCAGCTCATCCTGAAGTTCTTCTGCTTGGAGGATCTCATAATCCTTCGGCGTGAGTTGAGCCTGCTGGCCGACTTGAACGCCAACACCCTGGGTAACGGAAACCTGGGAAACACTCTGACTTACTCCTGACGAAGTGGCCTGCGAAGAGGCCTGCGACATGGAGGAGGTGACCATGGTTGCACCTGTGCTAGCTATAATTCTACACCTGGCGCTGGCCGCGGCGTCCCTCGCTCTCCTTGCTGCGGCCCTCTCTCTAGCCTCTCTCCGCAGTCTCCTCTCGTCTCCTGGACCTATCTCTAGGAAAGTCAAGGGTCGATTGAGAGCAGTTCTTCGAGTGATCCTAAGGCCGTCCACTAACAGCTCCTCCTCACTCCTGCTTGCATTACTCGTGAGCTCCAATGTGTGTGATCTAAACTAGAATCAACACTGAATCCTACCTCAGCATGACACACAACCGAGTATGATACACATCTAATTTTGGTTGGCCTGGACAGAAACAGTTAGGTAGTTAGTGTCAACTAGCGTCAGATTCTACAGGTAACATTAAATCTATTTTTAGATTACTCAAATACAGATTGCATGCAGTAAGGAATGTACTATTCTATCTGCAGCTGTCTGTCAGTTGTTAGTCAAGTCCGTAAAAAACAAATAATCAAAAACAAGAATAATATTCCCTGCAGTGATGTATGCTGGATGGCAGTTTATCTCATTAATACCTCAGCGAACAGTTACCAGAATCCAACCGTCCCCCTGTATCCCTCTTGAGTAGTCCCTTTGTGTCGACGTCCTAAGCATCTGGTTGAGCAGCGTGTCCGAAGGTGTCCAATCTGGCCCACCCCTGTGGCCCAAGTCTCTGCGGAACCTGCCAGCCCCTGCACCTTATTTATCCTCGCATGCAACGAGCCTTACACCCGGTTTGATCTGGCTGATCAAGAGGCAGTTTAAGGACAGCCCCCAAGGTCCTCAGAAATTATTTAGTGTCGCAGACAGGACGACGATCACAGCCAGAATCAACACCGAATCCCTGCCAGAAATATTTAAAGACAGTCTGGTAAGCGTCTGTCCAAAGGGCTGGCATGCCCTGCATGACCTCTATTGCGCGGCAGCAGAACCAAGGACTTGCGGCAAAGCATGCGTGTACTAGTCCCAGCGGGTTGGCACGGTGACCGTGACCCGAGTGCTTCATCCAGGGCCTTTCAGAGGCATCACCCGTCTCCCACCCGCTTGCTGCCCAGGAAGAATGTCGACTCTCAAGGTTGAGCACTCGCGACACCTCACATTGAGAGGACTCTCAAGACAGAACTCACTTCCTCACGGTAAGAAGTAATGAAGAGGGTAGATAAGGAAGAAAGCAACGTACCTCTTAATGCTGCCCCCAACCACAGATTTCTCACTGGCAACATGATGTGTATTTATGATGACCGGTCTTTGCCTCAGCACAACCAACAGCAGAACGCAGTTTCACCTAGGCTTAAATGCCACATCAGCAAGCTCTCATCATCCAGCGTACACCCCTAATGTCGCAACATAGCTTCCTGGCGCGCCCACACGACCCTGGGCCGCCTTACTTTCAACGCCAAAGCCTTATCACTGCCCCACACCTCGTGCGAAGCACCGAACAGCTACTGCGAAGAACCAATGAAGTGCAGATCGAACCAGCCCCGATACCAAATTGCAAGGAAAATGAGCAATAGCGAGATGACAATGTCCAGCATGCACAATCACATTGAAGGCCAGATAGCACAATCACATTGAAGGCCAGATAGTAACACAGTGTCCAGAATGCAGAAATGCACCAATATAACACCAATGAACAATCGTAACACTGAAAACCAATGTCAATGAGAGTTTGCTCTCGCCACCACCAACACGAGTGTCCAGGCCCTATCTCCCTACTTGGCGCTCGGCGCCCAGCCTACTTCCTACACAGCTACAGTCTGCCTACTNGCTCTCGCCACCACCAACACGAGTGTCCAGGCCCTATCTCCCTACTTGGCGCTCGGCGCCCAGCCTACTTCCTACACAGCTACAGTCTGCCTACTAATTGCCAATGCAACCGTTGACGTCAGCAGCCCACGAAGTACTTGAAGACGTCACCCATAGCAGACCATCGCCAATATCAGGTATGTCCCCTCACATCATCATCATCATCATCCTTCTCTGTCTCCCTCTTCTTCACCCATGTCTTCCCTCTGTACACCCGAAGACCACCCCTGCACCTCACTGTAGTCCAAGCCCAACCAGGTATGGAGGCTGGGCTATGGGGCTGCCCTCAACTGCGCCCTGCTCCCTGCATGACTGCACGCACTAGCACCTTGCCTCTCAGTGCCAGCAGCAGCCCATGAGCATCCCCTCCAGCAGCACTGCCGCCAGCATGCAAGTGCTGAATGAGAGGCCATGGCTGGCCTGGGCCTCGGCCCAGAAGCTTCCGGTAGGACCCAGGATGCTGCGCCTCTGTTGCAGCTACTGGGCCTCATTCGGTTGGGCCTCCCAACTGTCTGTGTATGAGGCTGCGATTCTCGCCCGTGGCCTGCATTTTTCTGGAAGGCCCCTCTCTCTCTCTCTCTCTCTCTCTCTCTCTCTCTCTCTCTCTCTCTCGCTGCTTGGCCTGTGTTTCCCTCAACCAACTCGCACGACGAAACTGCCTGGACCCCAAATACGAAATTGGCAGGTGAGGGCCTCTCGTGATTTGTTAGGCCCGCCTTCACTTAGGGCAGGCACATTTGCAACAGGGCCCCCTTAGGCCTGCGGAGGACCCAGATCCTCGCACTACGTACACTCACAAAGGTAATGAAAGCAGAAAAGATGATGCATTAATATTATTAAAAAAAAAAAGGCCCAGACAGACCTCCCCTTGATCAGACTTAAATACGGATACACCTCAACAGTTCGGCGGCTGCGGGGACGTTCTCCTCGCCCTCCCCTTCCTCTTCCTCGTTGCCGTCCAACCATTTCCATAGCTTGCTTCATTATTGTCACCCTCCTATTCCTTGTCCTCCTCCTTTTCCTCGTCCCAATCAGCACGAAAATAATCAGATTTACTTCCACTTTTTCTTTTCGCCCCACCACTATTGAAAGAAAGCAAAACAAGAAAGAGTAGGAGATAGCTCTGACAGAAATTTGCATTACTCATTTACCCTCTCTACACTTCCTCTCCCTCCTTTTTGTCCAACCATTTCCATAACTTTCATCTTGCTCCTCCTCATCCTTCTCCTCCTGCTATCCCTCTTCCTCACCCTCCCCATCCTTCTTTTCTCTGTCCCAATCAGCATGAAAACAACACACTTCCTTTCATTTTTTCATATTTCCTCACTTCTATTGAAAGAAATTAAAAAAAAGAAAAAGTTAGGAGAGTTATGAAAGCAGTATTTTTTCATGCCTCATATATCCTTCCCACCCCTGCTGATTCTTCTTCTTTCTGTTTCTTTTTCCTCCTGCTTTCCAGCATCATTCTGTCACACGAACCTCTCATTCTTTGGTCGTTTGGGGTCTCCACAAGCTTACTAGACGACCTGTTACAGCTTTGCCCACAAAAGAAAGAGGAGGTATGGGCACTCTGTCATGTACGTATGGGCAGTCTGTCATGTGAAAAGGAACCTCTACTTTTCCAAGGAAAAATGTGAAACCAAAGCAAAAGCCGAGGTAGATTGGGCACACGAATGCTTTGCTGAAACTGTTTACGATGGGGACACAGGCTGTAAAACAATTCACCTTTCATCTGGACTGCTGGACCTGTAGTGCCGGGCCAACGGCTCAGATCCACGAGTGATCTCAAAGTTTGCACAACAATCTGGACAGTTCACCTTACGATGAGCATTGATGCAATGATCCAGCCCCAGATTGTAGGGGTTCACACTCTTTTTCCAGGTTTTTACCACCAGGTTCATCGAGGATCAGGTCCACAATACAGTTGTACCGGTCTGAGCAATCATTACGGCGTGAAGCATCGGGTTCACGATACAGTGATGATTTATGGAAACACAGGAGCAGAATGCACAAGAGTAAAACACGGAACTTTGTGACGTCCCCTTCCGTGGCACTGTTAAGTGTCACTAACACCAACGTTGCATCGGACTCGCGCACATGACTAACAAGATCCCCCTGTCGAAGCCCTCTGCTCATATTCTCCTGCATCCAAACAGTGGTGTGGTTCTCAACTCGAACTGACCAATGAACAGGCCCCATTCTTGAGACGGACAATGAAATAAACGGAATAAAAGCAAAACATGAGGTTGAAAACACACCCCACTCTGCCTCTTCCTCTTCACATACAGGCATTGTAAGATGGGATGTCCTTGTCCGAATAGACATAAGTACAAAACAGGGTTTAAGAGAAGGTTGAGATTAAAAAAATAGGGATCCCTGAAGATCAAACACAAGATGACCCTAGCCTTACCTGACGAGGTGACCAACGTTTCACCGGATCCATGTGGAGAAGCCCCTCCAAGAAATCAACAAACGCTCGTCGGTTCTGCCTCTCTGAGTAGACCGCGCAAGCAAGACAACCATTCAGAGAGTACACTCTATATAAGAGATCTGGCGATTCCCAAGAATTTATCACTTCCAATTTGTCCACAAAAAACTCCCTCAGACATCGACCTGCAACCCTGGCATGTAAACCTTCTCACATCTAGGCAGTCCATCACAGTCACCACCGATCCACTATCACCCACAGCAGTCAATTCCAAGATGAGACAAGGTTCGGGGTCCAGATCCCAACGATAACCAATGGTGTGATCACATACTCCCCATGGTCAATCCTCAAGCAACCACATCAGTGAAGTGAACTGGCATCTCTGTCTAGATACACACAGGGAGGAGTAAGCAAAAACATACAGAACCTTTACCACCAAGGACCACGTCCTTGGTCTGTGCAAGCTCAGCTCAGGCAGTCTTGAGAACGCAACAAACCACAATGGGCCACAATGGGTCATGTGAAGATCATGTGATAGTCACGCAAGTGTGTCTTATGAAGGCATGCCAGCAACATACAGATGATTGCATTCATTTACAACTCCGATCTGGTTTTGCAGCCAATTACACCGCATCCTACCGCACGGACTATTTCTCAAAGAATAACGAGAATTGTCATCAAGATACCTTATTTCCCCGAATACAACATACGCTGTCATACGGTCATTTTCACTGCATCTGGACTAAGAGGTGAGCCAAATACGGCTATAATGACTGTACGTTCGGGGGAAGATGGTACTGCACATGGTCACTCTGCAAGAGTTGTTTTGTACATGGCATTGCTCAGACAAATAAAAATCGCTAACTCAAGTACACACACGTACCTCTTTCCTGATCCTCCTCGGTATTTCCTTGCCTCAACGGATAATTCAGGATTATCCGATCCAGCTTTTTGTCGAAAAAATACTTCTTGCCAATTGCAGGTTTTTCCTTCTCCTTCTGCACATTTAGAAAGTCCACCATACCATCCAAAAATTAGAGATACACACATACAAACGAGGTCGAACCAAGAAACACGGGAAGGTGTAACTTCATGCATAGCATGATAGCACTCTCCATAGAATCCCTGCGGGTTTGTTTGTCAATGTGCCAGAGAGCGAACTCACGAACACGAGCTGCAACCTTCTGCGAGCACACGTCAATCTTGCGAACAGGACCTCAAATGCCCCGGGGAATGCCCATCTGCTTTCATAGGAATGGACTCTGCTTAAGACTTCTCCAAGACTGAAGAAGACCGGATACAACTAACTCACACCCTGCTACTTTTCATTTATTCTATATGATCTTCCGTTATGCTGTAGTCACTCTTTTCGGGCAGAATCTGGACGTAATTGTAGTCATGTACATCCTGAAAAGTCCTGGTCTGCGTGTGCACGTTCTCTTTGAGATTGGTGTACAGCAATAAACTTCAGCTCCCATGTCCGAGTTGCCAGTGTGTGCAATACAGAGTCGAAGACACTCCTGCCTCGTGAAGCTCAGAGATTAGCAATTTCAGCACTACTCGCCAGAGCTCCTCCAAACAATATAAAAGTGTGAAGACATTCATGCCTCATGAAGCTGAAACATGTGACGCGCGTCACCATTGACAGTCGCACCTCCACACAAACAACAGCATTACCTTACAACACACCACCCCACAAACAGAGACAATAACAGTTGCATGCCAGCAGATGATGCAAGCTTCTGATCATTCAATGCCTCGCTACCGTTTATAATCCATCATATGATGATCGGGACTGGGCATACCTCAGAAAGGACAAGAAGCAGGCATACATTGCGGGGAATCTTGGACAATGGGCCGGCGCCTTACCCAGCAATGTCACATGAGTGGAGAACGGATATTCTCTTATGATTTTTTTTCATCAGCAGCAAGACTGTGACAAAAACTGAAGAGAAGCCAGGTGGTGGCAGGGCGAAGGACAGGTGTCATTCAGAATGACTAAGTGTGAAGGGCATTTTGCCCGTGAATTCGGCATGCTGACTACCTACAAAGACACCTGAGAGGAACACCGGGATTATAACTGTTATATGCTTAATACTTACCAAGACACCTGAGATGAGAAACAGGGAGGCAAGCCCTCCAAAGATGAAGAATAAGAATGACAAGAGAAAACCAGCCAGGTGCCTGGACCTGACAATACCACACATGTTTGTAAGTTACAAACGGGAGTCGGGTGAGTTTGGCGATGAGTCGCTGCGGCGCCCTAAACCAGGCGACTCTGGCGATAGAGCAGACGCAAAGCATCTGCTCTGGCGAGCGGAGTGAGTGCCAGGATAAAATCAAGAAGTGAACCACGAATCTCAATTCTCTTGTCTAGACCCAAGCAAGTGCACACACAGTTGAAAGGAGTGCACAAACTGACCAAATTTTACACACAAACTGCACACAAGTGACTTACCACAAAGTTGCTTACAGCTTCATAGCCCAGCAGCCATACAATAGCTAGGCAAGGGTGGGTGGCATTCAAAAGGCGGCTATCCTTTCAACCGGGAAAGCATGAAACATCATTATTCGCAACAATGTTATTAATAGCGGGAGTCATCACTTCCTCAGCCCTTCGCCTAACCAGATTCCTGATAAAGAAAATTTTGACTTAAGAGTGAATAGACACCAACGCTCAACAACAAGAAGGCCATGGATCAGGAACACTGTGGGATGCGAGTGGGTTTGTTGTTGTTTCCCATGCAATTTAAAAAAATGAAAAGGAGGAGGTGGTGATGTTTCCCCATCACATAGCACATGACCGTAGGTGTGTCACAATCTATCACCACGAAGTGTTGATTGACTCGATCACAAATCCTGAACAACATGGCACTTGAGAATGTTCCTGACAAAGGCAGGGTTATCCAGGTGCATGCCAAATCAACAGAATGCCACCTCCCTCCCTCTCTCTCTCTCTCTCTCTCTCTCTCTCTCTCTCTCTCTCTCTCTCTCTCTCTCTCTCTCTCTCTCTCTCTCTCCCTCTCTCCCTCTCTCTGTGTATCTGTGCAAAGAAAGTTGAGAACCATAATGTGCTCAAATCCTTACTTTCTCAGAAGTTTACAAACGATGAAATGTGAAGACCCTGGTGCCCATACCCCTCCCCCTTCTCTGCAAAACATTTGTGGAGGAATCGAGGGATATTACCTCCTCATACTGATCTGGTGACAAGAACTGGTAGATTGACTGAGTCTCACCGCCAACTCCTCGTGGAGGTGCTGAACTTGTCACTCTGAAATACTTTGAGGTCTTCTTGGCCGCTCGTAGAATGTGATCCGGAGGCTGCTGGCTACCTCGATAAAAGAAAGACAATGCAGAGCGAACAATGCACCCCATATTAGACACAGAGCTGGCAGCAAGCTGAATGCTTTTATTCCCACAAAGCGAAGTTGCGTACCTCCCAACTCCTCAGAAAGTGTTCACTCTAGACAAGACCGCCGCTAATTCATACCAAAAACCACCCACAGGATGGCAATCCCTCCACAGACCCCAAGACTGTGAGGGCAAGGAAGAAGATCGCAACACAGAACCCAACAGCATAAGCACAGGGAAAATCAACCAAATCAGGACTTCCTGCCATGACAAACAAAACTGGCAGGGTGGGGCGTAGAGAGCATTTAGTGGTTCACCGGAGTCCCCACGAAAAGTACAAGATGCTGACAGTGCAAAAATGGAATGAGGATTGTGACACAAAGGTCCGGACCGGACTGCAGATTGGCCAGCCCAAGGCTAAGGGTAACTGTAAATGACAGCAGTCAAGTTGACCACCCTCTCTCTCTCTCTCTCTCTCTCTCTCTCTCTCTCTCTCTCTCTCTCTCTCTCACACACACACACACACACACACACACACACACACACANCACACACACACACACACACACACACACACACACACACACACAGATTTCCCATGTTATCTCACCCACATGATATTCAATGTGAAGCACTGACCCAAAAGTGCTGAGTATCCATTAGCAAATCATACTCCTCGGTCCCCATGCGATCCAGCAACCAATGGAGTCCTAGATTGCATGGCTATCCATGCAACCAAATGTCGGTATGGAGCGCGTAGGTTCTCAGATCAACTGCTCTGGGAGGGTTCAACACTACAAACGTTCCTCAATCCATATACAAATATGCAGTAGAAATTAAGTTCAGGACGATGGAGAATCAGATGGAACAAAATAATACTTTTCTTCGGTTCAGGCTAAATGGTAGGCTTTAGACAGGCTGCCAATCAGTCGTTACATCCTCTGGGTGTTTTAGTCTGTAATTGTCCATCAAAAACAATTGGGACTACGCATACATACAGGCTATTGGCGGTCCATCAGGCATGGAAGAACCCCCTCACCCCTTCTCTACTCCTCAATGCCGCATGAAGTGGGCAGGCCATCCACCACATTTTCTGTCATTCTTGAATATGAGTCAACATGTAACCCGCTGGGTTCAGTTCCCAGCACGTGTTTGCTCCGTACGAATAGATCGGAGCAGTGTCCCAAACAAAAGAGAGAGAGAGAGAGAGAGAGAGAGAGAGAGAGAGAGAGAGAGAGAGAGAGAGAGAGAGAGAGAGTCAACATGTAAGTTGATGTAACCAGATAAATGCAGCAGTCTGTCCTCCAGGTCACCAGCCAGTCGGTCACAAGGACACAAGCACCAAACAGGCATGATTCCAAATTAACTACAACTGAAAATATTATGGGTATACCCAAAACCGAACAGTGAGCACAGACCAACGGGTTAAAAAAATATTGTGACCGTGATACATACTCGAGTGTCTCCAGCATCCTGAACAGCAGGTCGTACTCAGACACGCCGGGGAATAACGGGATTCCCAGAAAAAGCTCCGCAGCAACACAGCCTAGAGACCACATGTCTATGGCTGTCGTATACCTGTTTGTAACGTGTCAAGGACCGTTCTCGGATTCTTGAATAATGAATACAGGATGCTCTGCAAGTGACATGTTCTGCCAGGCCTCTTCCCACATTCATGGCAATCATGCAAACACGCTTGGAAACTGATATCTCCAGGAAAATACCGAAAGAAAGGAAAGGAACAAAGACAACAAAGGAAAACGCGAGGAGAAAAAGAGAAAGTAAAGCAAAACTGATATGCACATCAATTGAACACATCTTCAGATTCTTCGCTCAACTACAACAGGCAGGCATTCTGACTGCATTCCATACACTACCGTCTTCACCCTAATGGAACACCTGGGCATTATAGCTGTACTTTTTGGCACAACTTTTAGTCCAGGGGCAGTGAGAAGGACCGGGTGTTCTACTCGGGAGAAGACGGTACGAATGCATGGAAGTATGTCGCTCCATACACTCAGAATGCATGCACATTAGAAAACAATTTGCACATCTTTCACTAGGCAGTTCACCATATAACCTACAGGTAGTTCCCATTGCCACTAAAGAAGATCAGAAAGCTCAGAGTATCATACAGTCCTCTTCAGTAAATCAGGCGCCCTAGCATTTAGACCTTAGACCGATGCAGAAAGGATGACATGTATGGTACAACCAAAAGTCTGACAGCACAGCTCAGTTAGATCAATAACACTCATATGGCAAAGAAAATGAGCCCATTTTGCCATGCTGAAAGAATGCAGATTTGAGTCTGGATACGGATGACCCAGGACAACCTCCGGTGAACGATAGAAGCGGCTCTGCATAACAGAACACACAGCACAGGAGCGCAAACAAAGACACACACACACCGGCACACACAGACACGCAGATACACACACACACACACACACACACACACACACACACACACACACACACACACACACACACACACACATACACATACACAGAGGTCAATACAACAGTGATTTAGAAGACAAAAATTTAAGATGCACCCACCCAAAATCCCAACGCAAGCCAGAATGTTGTATATGCTCTGTAATGAGTCTGTATGCAATATAGGCTTTATGCCTCAATCAGTACACACGGTAGCACAACCCCCCAAAAAATAAGGGGGGGGGAAAGGGGGAGGGGGATCGGGGGTGGGGAGGGGAGCACACAACATGGCTGCCCACAAAGTTGCACCCAGCTTAACCAAAACACAGGTACTACTAGAAAAAGGAGCACATGAAGGAAATTTGTTTTTGCAAGGAGATGAACGACTGTTTCAATAACAGGAAAGTCAATTCACAGTTTGTGGGAATTGCACGGGACAAGTGCAGAAGAAGCATGGGTAAGTCGTGAAGCACAGAGACAAGGACCGGGCAAAGCGCGCTGGTGCAGATGATGACTGAAGGGCAAATCGATGATGAGCTAACAGGAGGCTGGCACAGCCAGGACGTGCCTGGAGAGCATTAGAGCATTCAACCGACACACAGGCATAGTATTGAAAAATGTCACAGTATGGTGTCCATGTCTATGTTTTCAGTAACCCATGAAGTAGCCTGAAATGAATGCAATGTAACAGTATGGTAACAACAATGTGAAAGGCTGAAAAGGGTTTGAACTCTTAACATTAACCTTCGAGGTAACCACTTCCACTGAGCCGAGGCACATGCGAAGACTGACGAGTCCAGAGGATACCAGGCTCCTCTCACCTTCCCCCACTCTGCTCCCACGTCTCTCTCTCTCTCTCTCTCTCTCTCTCTCTCTCTCTCTCTCTCTCTCTCTCTCTCTCTCTTGCCTTGTGCACCCACAAAAACCAACTGAGCAGAAGCACCAACTGAGCACATAAGCGCTTGTTTGCCTCTCTCTCTCTCTCTCTCTCTCTCTCTCTCTCTCTCTCTCTCTCTCTCTCTCTCTCTCTCTCTCTCTCNCACACACACACACACACACACACACACACACACACACACACACACACACACACACACACACAAAACCAACTGAGCAGATAAGCTCTTGTTCGTCTCTCTCTCTCTCTCTCTCTCTCTCTCTCTCTCTCTCTCTCTCTCTCTCTCTCTCTCTCTCTCTCGTGGCTTGTGCACCCACGGAAACCAACTGAGCAGATAACCGCTTGTTTGCTTCCATTCACAACCGCTTTATGGTCGCAGTCAGATCCAAACAGCAGGAGAATTATTGGCGGTGCTTATGCCAATCTCTCACACAACACACTCTCTGTCAGCTGTTTCCCTTTCTTCTTGATCTGAGTCCTGTGGTTTACTTTCAAACCTTGTTGTAGACGCTTGACTTGGATTCTTTTTGTCTACTCCTGCCAGAAACATTTGGCACTCTGTTTGTCCTCGCAACAAGTCCACATCATTCCACCACAAGCTCAGAATACAGAGTTACACAAATAGCACGCAGACATTCTAGCAATGTCAAGTACCCCTATGACTTGCACAGATTCCACGGTGTCAACAGAGCGCTCACAAACGTCCCACCTGAATGTAAGAATACACAGTAAGGTTCTCCAAACATGCTGATCCAAAGTCAATCAGCTTTATCTCAAACGGCTGCAAACTGCACACATGGCAGAGAACAAGTCAATACACAATCACCAATTCGTCAGCAACCATCATCAATGGGCCGACACCCTGTAAGGTATGACCAAGTGCCTCTTCTAATTAACCCCCAAGATGTTTGCGTACCCAAGCACACCCAACGTCCTGCGAAGATTTAAGGCCACCAACCACCAAGACATAGATCTATTGCGGTCATTATTCATGTCGTTGTTATCCAGCATCATCAGCTTCAACCTGTCATGCCGCAGCCGGGCCAGCAAGATTTGCAATAGTGCTTTCCTGCCAAAAAAGCTTCCTTGGCCCATTTCAACCATGTCCTCACGGAGTCAAAAACCACAAAGGAGAGAGCACTTTCCATCTGCCGCACACTATCGCCTGACAAACGGAACAGGTTTTTTATGTGGCCAAGCATCACCGGATCCGATGCGAAGAAGAAAGAAATGGAAAGGGAAACACTCTCATAACCAGTACACACTCCAAGAAAAGCAGTCGTTACTTTTGTTTTGGATGTATAATCCTGGCATACTGACGAATGTGCAAAAAGTACTTCGACCACATTTTCCGGTGGGCATAGAACTTTTCTCTGAAATGAAAAAACTGCCATTCCATTCAGGCTTTCATTGCATGCATCACAATGGCATGCCATCTCAAAGCTAAACGTTGACGATCGACAGATCACACATCTACAAACAAAAGAAAAGACAAAAAGAGAAAAAAAAACAGATCACAGTGACATCACACATCTATGGATAATCACTGGCATAATGCGTCTACGGTCGACCCATCATCCTGGGAAGCCATTGTGGACACTTTTTTCTGAAGTGGGGAAGAACTGCCTCTCAATCCACACACGTCAGTGGCATCAGTGGAGAGCACACCTCAAAGCTGAACTTGAACGAATGCCAGATCATGCATCTATACATAATCGCTCCCATCATAGGTCGACCCATTTTCCTGGGCAGCCATTCTAGACACAAAACCTTCTTTTGAAGTATGCCCCTAAGTTTGTTAGGGAGTAGAGAGTCTCACAATAGCGTACCCACAGTCCCAACGAGTAGGCCCACCGATCATGGGCCAAAGAGAAACATGGCCGCCCATATTTCAATTTAAATTTATTTTTTTTTCAATTGATGACGTAGATCGCGACCCTAGGCCGAACAGGGATGAGCGGTGTTGGAAACGGAACAGTTTTAGGCTGATCCCCTTCAGGATGCATCCGCACCGAACAATTTTTAATGCCACCAGGCAGCCCACTGCTCAGCATCCAGATGACCCATGGTCCATGGTCCTATTGCTAGGACCAAACTGCAAATCCCATCTCGGAAATATTTTCCAAATTTCCATTTTAATGTTTTACTTAATTTTAATTTTGCTAAACATATTCAAGGATACAGAAAAGAAAGACATGATGTGCATCTATAAGCAGTTCAGTCAAAGTGGCAGAGGAGAAACATGGCAGCTCACTCTTGAGTCTTAACTCAACTTAATTGGCTGTGCATGTACTCGTTAACTACAGTCTTCACCCGGATAGAATGTCTGGTCATTGTGGCTGTATCTAGACTGGAAGATGCCCCAAATACAGCTATGATGACCGGGAGTTACATTCAGGTGAAGACGGTAATTCGTCGTAAAAGATGTAACCCAAAGAGTTATCAAAACTTTGTTTATGCGGTGATGATAGGGTTTCAACTTCCAACTATTTTCGATGTAGTGTATGTTTCATATATACCACCGTGTTACGATGGGTCTTTTCTTCCTTTTTTTCCTTCTTTTTTTTTTACTCAGGTCTGTGAAGAGTACCTGACGTCCGGGTATTACCGGTGTCGAGGGGACGACAGATTTCCAAGGCCCAAATCCACAACGATTTCCTGCCGGTCCTTTTGGTGCCACTCCAGAAAAGCCCATTGGACCCGAGGAGCATTATGCACTCAGCTGGGACTGGAGGGTGCGATACCATCTGGTTTGCCTGACAGAGTGGATAGGATTGCAGCCTGAATGACTGACTACAAGTATTCTGATTGTCCATAACACTAACTTTTTCAAAGGTCTTAAGGTCATCAAGCACTCCAGCATCTCCAGTGTGCAGTCTATAAAGTTGCCCCAATAAAGGCTGCCTGGCGGTGACCGAAAGACATGACATCCGCCATGCCATCATCACCTTCGTAATTGAATGTTTCAATCAAATTCAATGCATATATTCAAATTTTCTGTTCTTATGCCTTAGTTACCTCGCGTAAATTTTATCAAAATTGAGTCGTGTCAACTCGACTTGAGTCGGTTCCCTCAGTTCCCTCAGTTCCCATTCCGCTCAATTCAAACAATTTATTGCTGAGTTAGCATCCCGCAACTTTTTGAACTTTTTGTTCATAGGACCTCATCATCAGGGCCAGATCCGCACTTGCCCAATCTATAGCCCAGACCATTCAGTTTCCGACTTTCCAAGTACCTGGGCGGATCTGGAGCCTGGATCAACAGTAGCCATGCAAAGGTGGACGTGCCATTCACATAATTTCCTGGAGCAGAACAGCTTTTGGCTGCACTATTCTTGCCTGGAGAATTCACGAAACAGTGTACCGGCCCGCAGTAGGTCCCCCCAAAACTGGCCCTCCATCGAGCTACTTTTTCAGCCCCGCAACATTAAGTGCAGCCGAAACAAGTTTCCCCATTGGTCATCACACGTCCCTGCTCTCTCTCTCTCTCTCTCTCTCTCTCTCTCTCTCTCTCTCTATATATATATATATATATATATAACATCATCGAATGTCTTCCTTATCCTTATTATTTCTAGCAAATTTTTCTTTTGCCTCGTCTAAAGAGAGGAGAATCTCTATGACTATTAGTCGACCGGAATATATATATATATATATATATATATATATCTATCTATATACCCTGGTCTGTGTCCCTGGCAGCCTATCTGGCTGGTCACAAACCTGGTTGACTACATCAGACCGAAATTGTGTTTTGCATTAACCATCAAACAGACATCTTAAGACAACGCAGCATCACTCAGGGGGTACATGCTCACACTAGGACTTCTTCTCAATGAATCTGGTCATGTTTCCAGTGACAAACACTGAGGACAGCCCTAGTGTGAGCATCCCATCGTACAACTGCAGAGAAGGGGGTTCGCTCTGTGGTTGGGAGAGACAAAACTGCAAAACACTCCTGTACCTCTTCAAAAGGATGTTCTCAGGTTTCAAGTCACAGTGGATGACATTTGCATCTCGTAACACAACGAGCGCATCAAGAACCTGCAATGAATCACAAGAAAGAAACCACAACGAACCCGTCTGAGTACTTTCAATCAGAGCCAATGTGTGAACCAGAGGAAGGATACAGATTCACAGACGTGTTCCACTCTCTTAACGACACAAACAGAGACCGAGAAAAACGATGTCCCATACGTATTCTCATTTGTTGATAGGCGAATACCAATGGGACACCCCGAATCAACAAAAGATGTACAGAAAAGGGACTTACTGAGTCATATGAGAGCAGAACAAGAGATTCAAGAACAGGTGGAACACACAGACAAGCTGGGGACTGAAAATTAACTCGCGCTAAACATCAAGAACAAGTACAAGAGAAGGAGATGCCTGAAGAACTCATAGGATCACTGCTGACCTGGCTTATCATTATCCGCAATGTGCTCAAGGACAAACCCTTGTACTCATTCTTCTTTATTACCTCATACCTGCTCCACAACACAGACCAAAAAAGCATTAAATCTACATCAGTGCCCATGATAATGTGCCATAAGACACCATCCCATAAAAGCATTCAAGGAGTGTTCAAGTTTCACTGATACAATACCTTTCCCCACCTTTCATGGCTAAAAGAATCAAGCGCCGTATCTGTTCTAACTTCTAATCAGTTTAATATCTGATAAGTCGGGTCCATCGGACCACATTTAAAAAATAATAATAATAATGATAATGATAAAAATTGCATTGATACAGCTATCAAAATGAACATTTTTCACAATACGCCTCAAACACACCAGTTGCACACACACAGAGCAACTTGACCAGATGCCTGATTCCTTAACCAAATGTTTGGCCTTGTGAACAGATGAGAACACTGAAATTAATGGCATCCGTATTGCCCAGCAGACATCAACACACTTCTTCAAGAAATCAATGACAAAAACAGATGGCCGACGTCGAACACGATTCATAGCAACAGAAATCTGGCTTCTATTCCATAAATAAACACCTACCCTGGCACGATATGGCCCTATCTCCGATCAGAAAGCTGATCCCGTTTCAACCGAATAATAACATTCACGGTCTGACATGGATAAGGAGCAGGTGCTCATACGCAAGGGAGGAAGGAGAATGGAGGTCCCTGAGTACACCTAAGAAGACAGCAAGGTAGGCACCCTCCCACTCCCAGCAAGCTCTGGGCCACCGTAATCAAAGCCTGGAGAGAAGCATTCCTCGATAGAATCTCGACTTAGGAAACCCATCATTGGCATCTCGCTGCTCGCTCGAACAAGCAAGGAAAACCCCGGTCCTTGTACAGGAAAGACACAAGCCCATCATCGGCATCTCGCTGCTCACTCGAACAAGCAAGGAAAACGTCGGTCCTTGTACAGGAAAGACACAAGATGGAGAAGATGGGCAGAGACAGAGGGGATGGAAGGTTCAACTCTTATGGAATGAGGGAAGAAAAGCCCACCAGGGACCTAGCTGCAAGCACAACTTTACAAACATGCCACAATCAGGATCCAAAATCCCCAACCTAGTTCATGATAAGCCCATCAACTTCCCAGTACTGTCTTCCCCCAAACATAATGCACCCTGATAACGAACATATCCAAGCTATATTTCCAGTCCACTGCAGCCATAATGAGGGTGCATTGTCTTCGGGGGAAGACGGTAGCATTCCTACAGTTAAAAAACATCAGCACGTTAAAATTCCAAATTTGTGTAAGTTTTCAATAGGCCTTTCCTAGAGGTCATGTTATGGTGCGAAGCACAGAACGTAAGATCACTGGCTACCTTACCTTTCTGCCCCACTAACACCAGATCAACGGCAATGTGGAGTGGGTGGGCTTTTCTTTTGGGAGGTGGCGGGGAGGGAAAGGGCAGCGGTGAGTGTAGATCTATCCACAAAAAGAAACCATATCTTTCTGAGTATGTCAAGGACAGAGACTCACAAGTTGCAGTCGAGCAACTCAAATACAAGGCAGAGATGATATTGAAAGACAAAGTTGTCTATAAGCCGTACGATCTTGTGCTTGTCTTCAGGATCGTTCTGGTTCAGCTGCAGCAAGCACCACACAAAGAGAGACATATGTCAGAAGACTCAGAACTCGTACTATACAGGTTAACAGAAAAAATGAATTCCTCAATCTCCCTTGCTGTCCATCCACATCATGTCCTCTTCTTATGTGCATTGCCGTCGCCCGCCTTTCTCGAGCGAGCAGGTGCAAGACGCACCGTCGGGGGGGGGCTTCATGCAACTTCGCCACACCCTTCACCCGGACATGGGGTGACATTGCCATGACTCCCAGCACGCAGCAACAGAGAGTTCCCCATCTAGATATGCGCCGGAGATTCTCCATCACTGCACGAAGAAGGCACCACCAAGCACATAGAAAATGATATGCAGCCCATACCGCGGGCAAATGCTGTACAGAGAGGTCTCAGGCACTACCAAACATGGAAAAAGATATGTGGGCAGATGCTCTTGAGCAGTAGCTCTAAACCACCAGTGCATGCTCCCAGCCTTGCAGGATTTTGTTCAGCGCCTACTCCCGACCTTTTTGGGGGCTCAGGAAAGGCCCAGCAGTGCAAGAAGGGGGGAAAGAAGAGGGGGGGGAAAGAAAGGAGGGGGGGGAAGGGGGGGATGGGAAAGAGTTCTCAAAAATGTCCTGTTGGTTCATGCCGGCCATGACGAAACACATGCACGGACACAGACAGTGCAGAAGGCCCTGCCTCGCTGGCAGCGCTCGAGTGGAGTACAGAACAGAAAATGAAGATCCAGTATACTACTAGCACACTTGTCAATGTATCCGACCGCAATTACGACTAATGTCTAGAGCTTAGTAGAAGCAGTCCCTGCCGAGATTTGTTTGTTCTGAATTCATTACCCGCCAGCTTGCCGTGAGAGGTGAGGAAGAATTGTGTCAGAAGACTCAGAACCTTGATTGTTGGTTCTCTTCTTCTTTTTTTTGTTTTTCTTTTTCTACTAAGCTCTGAACTGGATTGCCGTCAGATTCGTCCAGGTTTTGCCGTAAATGCAGTCAGATGCATTCTTGAAAGTGCTAGCCTGTTGGTTATCAGAGCATACTCACTGTAGCACTTGCCAGACTGTTTCTGAGTGCGCACTTACTGCCACACCTGGATGAATCTGATGGCAATCACGTCCAGAGCTTAGTAGCAAAAGTCCCTGCCGAGGTTTGCTCTTTCTGAATTCACTAACCGCCATGAGAGGCAGGGAGGAATTGTGTCAGAACCATACATGCGCTGCAGCCCGCACGATGCGCTCGCATGCCATGCGGCGCACGCCAAAATCGAGGGGTCCAAAAAAAAACGAAAGGTCGAAGGGCGGGAGGGGGTTGTCGGCCCGGTAAGGACTTGGCGCCGCCGGCTACAAGCAAATCAATAAATAAATTTGAGGCTGTGAGGAACAAGCCCTCAAGGGGCCCTATCAGACATCACATGATCTGGGCTAAGGCCCCCAGCAAGCCGAGTGCCCGCCCTAAGTGAAGGCGGGCCTGAATATTTGTCAGAGGCAAAATTCGACATTTCCATATGTGCGTATTCAGGCTCTCGCAGCACGCCAGTTGGTTGGGTAGACGCATGAGCCTCACATACACACAAAGCAGGGCCGATACATTGGGAAGCAGGTCATCGGCCTTTGCAAAAGCAGTACTGCCGACGCACCTGCCTGGGAGCCCTGCACAGATGCAGCAAACAGCCCAAGTCCGGAGACTCGGGCCGTGCCCAACTGTAACGGGCCCAGGCCCTCAACTGTAGTCTCGGGCCTGGGCGCAGGGTCTGAGGCCCAACCGGAAGCTACTGGAGGCTTCCAGCCAGGCCACACGCAGCATCCAGGAGGCTGCCACTTCCATAAAAGAAGTCAGGCAGCCCGGGCCAGGCATTCTGGCCAGTGCAGGCAATGCGGAAGTGCTGCTGCGCTATCGCTTGATGCTGCGCTGCTGCCAAGGGCGCTGACGGGGCGCATAGTAGTGAAGTGGGGCGCTGCAGGGCAGCGGGGAGCAGGCGGCCATAGCCGGCCTGCTGGGCGCCAGGGGGTACAGCGGGTGATCTGGTGGTCTTCAGGGAAGGAGGCGCAGTGTGGGGTAATCAAGGTCTGATTGAGGGTGACGAGATATGTACCTGGTGCATGAATAGAGGTCGGCTATGGAGTTGACAGTCATGTACATTGGTCTTCGAGAGTCAAAGTGAGCCTGTTGCATGAACCAGCTGGAGGTAGGATAGTCGGGCAGAGTAGGTTGGGCACTGGGCACCAGACAGAGAGGAGCAACTCTGGATACTGTGTTGGTGTGGCCTACGGGCTTGAACATTGGCTCAGTACTTTATTGTATTGGTCTATATGGATGGTTTCTCGGTGCATTTTGTACTGTCTGCTTGGATACGACTACCTGGACATCTGTGTGATTTCGCAACATTGGTTTTCTGTATATCGTTCACACTCATGTTCCTTGCAAGGAACCGAATGCCCCCGCAAAAAAAAAAAAAAAGAGCGGGGAGATCCAAGTAGTTCATTTTTTGAACTGCTCGGACCTGCCCCACGCCGGCCCCCAAGCCCGGCAGTCGACCTTGGTGCCCCAGCACCACGCACTCCTTCACGGCCGCCGTGTGTCGTCGTCGCCGTTGTCTTCTTCTCGTGTGCATTACAGCAGGAAGCAGCCCCCCACTTCGTCGTTCATCTATATCCCGCGCAGCTTCGAACAGCAGTACGAAGGAGCTGAGGGTCTCAGCAGTGGGAGGACTCGAAGGAAGCAGCGGCAAGATCCAGATGGGTTACCACCAGCCTCTCTCTCTCTCTCTCTCTCTCTCTCTCTCTCTCTCTCTCTCTCTCTCTCTCT